CATTTTCGACACCGCGCACAAGTACAAAAAAAAAAGCGCGTCAGAGACTCCAGGCAAGGGTGACTGGCGCAAGGTGCGGAGCTGATCATGCTGGAAGCATGCAGACAACCAGAGCAGCGCATGCCTGCTCTCGTTGCGAAGATGAATCTCAGTGCGCGCGGGGTCTGAAAGGCGCACCCATTGAGGTTTATGTGAAGGCGGGATGCGTGGGACATCTTGCTTGCTTTGCACGGACACGGATCCGACTTCAAGGAGCTTGGACCCTGCGGGGATCCAGAGGCCTGCGGGTTGGTGTGCGACCACCGCTTCGGGGGTGAGGCTGTCCACAAAGCGCTGCCAATCTCTGGCGAAGACTTGATGAAGTGTGCCTTGGCCGCTGTGCAAGTCTTTGTAGAGCGGTGCGAGGTAAGGTCGGAGATGTGGGCAAGTGCTTGTGGCCCACATGAGTAGTCCCAGGGAACTCTCCAGGTGCTTGCGAAGGATTGTCTTGGACTTTGCCAGCTTGTGAAGCTGGTCGCGGAGCTTGGCGAGCTTGCCTTCGACCAAGCGCAGGGCCTCGATGTCAAGGTGAAAGGTCCAGCCGCACCAGGTTATGCGGTGCCGCAACTGTGCCTTTTTCCAGCTGATGGGGGCGTTGATGGCTGAAATGAAGAATGTGAGGAGCACGGCTTGCTGCTGCCATGTTGCCTGTGCGAGCATTGCCAGAAGGTCGTCGACGTAGAGCCATGCTTTGTGACCGTGCTGCTGCAGCAGTGCATGTGCGATGCGGAGAAGCTGTCCCCCAACGCGCTGCCACCAATATGCGCTGAATTTGGCACCGAAGTGGCACACGGTGTAGTGGTAGAGTTGCGATTCCACTCGGAAGAGGAGACAACCTTGTTCTTTGCGGTGCACTTTTACACATTTGTGCGCTGCTTTGAAGTCCAAAGACATGCCTATGAAGTTGCCACGGCGACCCCCTTGCAAAAAGGTGCGCTGCACATCCAGTGCGGTGGGGAGGCTGACGCGTTCCGGCACTTTGCAAAGGGGGTTGGCATTGCAAATGGTGCTGTCAAGGACTAAGCGCGGGTCTTTGCCCTCGCCGGAGACAATGTTGAGCTTGCCTATGGCTGTGCCCTCTGGCCACTGGCGAGCAGCGTCGCTTGCATTGCCTTGGAAAGGGACGACCCAACCATTGTCAACCTCCTTCTGCAGGAGCTGGCGGAGCAGCGCAGGGTTCTGCTCTGCCTGAGTCCAATTACCTTGACAGTGCAGAAGATGCAGTCCGTCCAGATCATCTTCTTGCAGCGTTTGCTGACGCTGTTGCCATTGAAAGCTGGAAGGTATGTCTTGCAAGATGCCTGCTGGCACGCCTTCCGTAAGGAAGCTGTGCAGTTTGTGGTCAGGATCCTTAGTGCGAGACGCAAAGGCTTGCAGAAGCTTGAGGCGGAATGGCTGTCCGGCCGTGATTCTCAAGCAGGCTGGGTCTTTGCACTGCGGATGCAGGAACGAGTGAGCGATGGTGGCAACTTCTAGCTGCTGTGCCTCGGTAAGAGGATGAGCGTCTCTGGCCTGGCACAAATGGCTGACGATACTTTGCGTGAGGTTGTGCTGCGCTGCAAATTGAAGCCAGTGGGTGATGACGTCTTGCAAAGGTGATGGGGCTGTGCTTGGGTTGGAGGAGTCTGCCGAACTGTTCATGCCAGCCCCATCACACACGAGCGGTCGGCGGTGGACCACCGGTTCTGGCGGGAGATTGCTGAAGTGCGAGAGTGGGACGCGCTTGTGTCCCAGCGAGGAGCAGAAGGGCGCCATCAATGCTGCGAGCTGCTTTGCCAGAGATGAGGGATACTCTGCGGTGAGTGCACTGAGATAGACATTGTTGACTCTGACGTCGGCGACGGGCCTGTGCATGCCTGGGGGGTGCGTGCATGTGCATGCCAGCGATGATATGGATGGAAACGAGGCGCAAAGAGCCCAGGACTTGTACAGGTCCAGGCCGTGGTGGCATGCGGCGACATGGGCGCAATGGGCGCATTGCTCCTGCAGAAGCGTGACATTGTCTGGCTGCAGCCAGGCCATAGACGAGGGCGGCTGTTCAAGACCTGTGTGACTGCCTGATTGCCGCGCGGTGCGTGTAACTTGCCTGGAGCGCTTATGAATCTCAGTGCTTTGGTCGACTTTGGCTTGCTCGGCAGGGCTGTTGCCGGGCACCCCATCCATGAACTCTGGGGCGCGCAGAGCTTTGGGGCCGGGCGTAGCTTCAAGCGTGAGAATTCTTTGCAGGGCGGTGCGGACCAAAGGGCCCCTAGAATCCCGCTGGATGCGGCGCGGAGAAGCAAGCGGAACTGTGCGTCGTCTAAGATGTCGAACGCGGTGTTTGCGCCAAGGTCAAAAGGCTGCAGGCAGTCTGCGTGCAGTGCTTCCATAGCAGCGGTGAGAGGTGCATTGACACCTGCAAAGAGGTCGAGGAAAAGTTTCGGTGCTGTGGATTGTTTAGCGGCTGCAGTGCAAACTGAGACTGGCTCTTCTGATGAGCTTGACGATGAGGAAGATGAGGAGCGGCGGCGCTCGGCTTGAGGCGGTGCGGGCGGAGCCTGCGGATTGGGCTGCGAAGCTTGTGCTTGCATAGCTCGAGGCAGCGCGGGCGCCGCCGGAGCACGGGGCAGGGATTAGGGAGCGATCGCGGAACAGGGCTGGCCTCCAAGGGCGCACCCGCGCCGATGTCAGGTATGCGCTGCAGGCGGCGCGGGCGGCTCTGCTTTGTCAGCTGGTGCTTTGGTGCGGTGCTGTGAGGCAGGATGGCGTTGCCCGCAGGCCTGGCCATTTGGAAGGCGCACCGCGCAGAGATATGCAAATTTGCAGTTCTTGTCGTTGCACTCTACGCGATTGAAGCGTAGGCAGAGCGTCTTGTTTCCGTGCTTGAGCTGCAGATTTTTCATGGTCTCGGTAAGCGCGGCCACCTGCCTATCTTCCTTCAGTCGTGTCTGGACTTTGCCTCCTTTTTTGCCGTTGCCTTTGCCACCTTTGTTGCCTTTGCCTGGGCCTTTGGGAGGAGGTGGGCGAGCACGAGGCTGGAGCAGCGCGTGGATGTCTGCTCTAATGCTGGTCATCTCATGCAGTGCCTCGTCGAGGGTCCAACCCTCACTGTGTAAACTGGAGATCTCGTTCCACAGTTTGCGGTCTGCATTGAGCAATTCGTGTGTGTTGATGGTGCGGAGGCCGGAGTCTGATGCGAGGCTTTGCGTGCAAATATCCAGGATCTTGTTGTCAAATGCTTTGAGGACGGCCAGGTGTGCTCCTCCGCAGAGGGCAATGGCGTTGCGGAAAATTTGCTGTGTCCGTGCGAGCCAGGCAGGGCTCAAGTGCGCTCGCTCGATGCTGAGCTCTGGCGTTTCATCGAAGAGTGCGGAGCTCACCAATTGCGCCTCTGCACGGAGGGTGCGTGACGCGCGGGCCTCCATGATGTCCTGGTATTGGCGTTGAGACACGCGGAGTTGCCATGGAACCCATTTTATGGTGCCTCGCGGTGCGAACCAGAGGTGCACTATGCTAAGCAGGCGGATGCTTGGCATGCAATCGTTGTCCAGGTGTTCACCTGGATAATTTGCCTTGAATGTGCTTTGCATGCGTTGCACTGCATCGGCATCCAAGCATGGCGGGGCATGCTCTGCCCAGACGTTGGTTGCTGGAGGCGTTGCTGTGCTAGGCGGCGCTGTGCTGGGATGGCTGTCCTTGGCGCGAGTGACTGCCTTGCTCAAGTCGAGTGCTCTGCGCAGACAGGCTACTGCGGGGCAGCGCTCTGGGTCTGTGACCTGCAGGTCGTCCCAGAGGCTTTGGCTTTGCTTTGCGATGAACGTGGAGAGATCCTCTGAAGAGGTGTAGGCATAGGCAAAATCGGAAATGCTAGCGAGACCTGTCTGCTGTAACGCTGTCTGCAAGGTCTCCGGTACCTGCACGTGCGAGAGCAGCTGAGTCAGCCCTTCTGAGCTGTCTACATCCCAAGAGCTATCCATCACGTTTGCAACGAACTGGAAAGCCGATGTTTGAGCTGGAAAATGGCTGCGGTAAGGGTGAGGGCTTGTGCAATGCAACAGGCACTTACGAACAAAAGCAAGGGGGCACGTCTCGAAAAGCCGGCGACCTGAGAGGAGACGGAAGGTTGTCACGCGAGCCAAGGATGCACCCAAAAGTTTATGTTGGTGCAAGGCAGGCTGTCCTTTTTAGGTCAAGCAGTGAGATTGCAGGCGGCGAGGCAGGCTTTGCGCCTGCAGAGAGAGACGGGCTCTTTGCATACGGCTACGAACGAGGCAGGGCCAAGGTGTGCCCCGCATGCTGCGCGGAGCTTGCAAACTGCCAAGGAGCCGAGCTTCGGCAGAGCCAGCGTGTAGGCCTGCAGTGACTCTGCGGTGGGGACGTGCATGCTCCCCCACGGACCTGAACACACGTAGGTGCGAGCGTCAAGGTCCACGTGCAGTGCTGTGGCCTCTGCTTCGCTTTCTGATGAGCCGTGCAGGAGAGCATATTCCTCTACTGCTTCGGCTTCTGGGTCGGAAGCTTTGTCGAGCTCGATGGCAGGGTCCTCTGGAGGGACAGCTGGACCCGTGCTTGCCGGGGAAGAGACAGGCGAGCTGTCAGCCAGTTCCTGCGTTGCATGAATGGACTCGTGCCTGGAAGTGAAGATGCGCCAAGGTCCCTCGAGGAGAGACGAGGTTGAAAGGTGCTCTGCTGGATGTGTGCGAGGTGCAGTGAAGGGAGGCTCTGGGACAGGGGCACTGCCCCCACGAGCCATTGACCGCTGTGGACGCCAGCCGTCCGCGATTGCAAGTGCGATGCTGCGCTGGATGCGCAGGCTTGCAAATGTGTCGTTGCGAGAGTACAGGCGTGCGCTGTCACGGTGGTGGCCCTGTGACAGCCTGTCGTCCCTAGAGAGGCGGAGCTGGGCTGCCGATGCGAGTGCTGTGGATTTCATGCTGCGCAGGGTCAACGTGAGGGATGCTGATCCTGAAAGCATGCTGGACTGGGCTGCCCAGCGAAGGCAGAGCAAGGTGCGTGTGTAGCTTGCGGGGGCCAGGTACTCCACTGAGATGCAGTGCATGTCTAGGTGCGGGAACAAGTAATCCGGTTCGACCGTGTCGGCGTGTACCTCGAAGATGGCCTTAGGTATGCTTGCCAGCGCTGCAAGCCAGTGCAGAAGCCATGAAGTGCTTGCATCGCGCCCCGACAAGCCGTGCCAGGCGCAGAAGAAGGGTTGCCCTGCTTTGGTGGTTTTAGTTGCGTATGCGGTGGCGTGCAGGCCTTGTGTACTCAGTTGAAGTGAGCCCCAGCGCACACGCTGTGCATCGCCAAAGCGTATGCTGCTGCGCGTGCAGACCAGAATTGCCCCTAGGACAAGCTTGGTGGTCAGCGGGGCGTCGCTGCGACATATGCATTGCTCCCACGCAAGGACCAGGGACAGGGGCAGTGGCACTGCCTCGCGTTTATCATATGCTTCGACTTGCTTGGAATAGGAGGTCACCAAATTGTTTTGCGCGCATAGCTGGAGGGCTTGCCATTGCAGGTGCTTGGCCAGCCAGCGCAATGCCTTGATGGCTGCGCCGCAAGATGTGCGGTGCACTGCTCTGTCTTGGCGCTTGCTAGAAAGAGCTGCGTGCAAAAAATCGACCAGAAGAGCCACGGGAATGCTCTCCATGGAAAGGTGCTGTGCCTGCATAAAATCTAGAAAGGTGAGGCAACATGCGATGTAGCGAAACAGTGTGTTGACTGTAAAAGCTGCCAGAAGGCGCTCCACATGCTGCTCTGGGTGCGTAGACTCTGCAAGGATGCCGTGCAACAGACAATGAGACCCTACCCTGAGCATGATGTTTCTGAACTGGTCTGTGAGCTTGCAGCGCTTGGACTCTGCGAGAGCCTGGGCAGAAACGAAACGTGGGGCCCTAGCCTGAGGAAGGCACAAACCGCGATTATGCTTGTGAGTGCTACCACGGAGTGGGGGACGCGCATGGGTGGCCAGGGCTAAGGCGTCATGGCTGGGCTGCTTTGGAGGAACAGAAAGTTGTGCAACGCTAGCTGGCCGACCAGTTCGATGGTGCTGGCTTCCCCCCGAGGGCTGAACAGGGATCACTAAGCGAGATTACGCGGGTGAAGATGGGAGCAGGCTTTGGGGTGCCTGGGAGGTGCGAGGGGTATTTAACCACGAAGCTGGGTCGAGACCTATCTTGGCTGGCGTTGAGCTGCAGATCCGCCGCACATAACGCAGGGGTACCTATGCGAGGCCGAGCTAAGCAGAAAGGCGGAGGCTTGGGGCTGTGCGACTTTGCTGCGGCCGAAAGGCCAGCCACGTCCTGCAGAGGTACGGAGTGTGCAGAGCTTGACGCAGGCGCTGACTTGCGATATCGCTTGACGGTGCAAACCCTGTCTAAAGTTTCAGGAGGCGAAGGCGGGCAAGCTTGCGCTGAGGCGGGTGCTTGTGCTGGTGTCAGAGGCTGCGCGGCGCCTCGAGCATCCGCAACAGGGGGGGCTCTGAGGAGAAACCACCTGATATCCGCGTGAAGGTAGAAATCTGCTGCCTGGAAAGCCTGCCTGTCTGCTGAATGAAGGCAAGCAAAAATAGAGAGAAGCGTTCTGTGGTTGGAGAAAACGCTCTCAAGCAAAACCTCCCTAGCTTGAGCCATGGCTATGGTGCTGGGCGGTGCTGTCAACAACTGTGCTTGCAGGAAACCGTCATGTATGCTAAAATGAGCCTGCTCAGTGGTGGACGTGGCCATGGACCACCTAAGCAGAGACACGAAGGGCTGCGGGCACAGAGCGAGGGCAGGCGTGGCCTCGAAGGAGCAGCTGGCACCTGGGCAGTGCAAAAAAGAAAAAGGGGCATCGTGCGCAAAGTGCTGCAGAAGTCAGCCCTCTTTTTGCGATGCCATGCAATGCTGCGGTGCTGTGCGGCCGGTGCGGAGCAGTGCTTAGCCCCACTGGCCTTTTCCTTCGCGCTGGTTGCGCTGCTCTGCTTTGCAAAGCGAGCATATATGAGGGCTGCGCACGTCCTGCGCA